CTATCGCAGGCCCTCCACATTCTGTGGAGACAAAGCCTAGATACTGGCGTTATTCCTGATATACTAAAAACAGCAGAGATGCACCACTTCATAAAGGAGGAAATAAGGCAGAGGCAAAAAAATTACAGACCGATAGCACTAACATCGCACATCATAAAAATTTTTGAGAGAGTGCTAAGAAGTAAGATCACAAAATACATGGAATCACAGCATCTCCATAACCCCGGACAACATGGTTTCAGAACAGGGCGCTCTTGCCTATCGCGGTTGCTGGACCACTATGATATGGCATTAGATGCTATGGAAGACAAACAAAACGCTGATGTAATTTACACAGATTTCGCAAAAGCTTTTGATAAATGTGACCATGGTGTTATTGCACATAAAATGCGTTCAAAAGGAATTACCGGAAAAATAGGCAGATGGATCTACAATTTCCTGACCAACAGAACCCAATGTGTAAGAGTCAACAAAATAAAATCCAGCCCATCAGCCGTGAAGAGCTCAGTCCCCCAGGGTACTGTGCTTGCTCCAGTACTTTTTCTCATCCTCATATCGGACATAGACAAGAACACAACCTATAGCACTGTATCATCCTTTGCAGATGACACTAGGATCTTCATGAGAGTAGGCAACATAGAGGACATGGCAAACCTCCAGTCAGATGTAGATCAGGTCTTTCTATGGGCTACAGAAAATAATATGGTGTTTAACGAAGATAAGTTCCAGCTCATGCGCTATGGAAAAAATGAAAATATAAAAACGGAAACCACGTACAAAACTCAGGCAAATCATAACATAGAACGAAAAGGCAATGTAAAGGATCTGGGTGTACTCATGTCGGAAGACCTTACCTTTAAAGAACACAATAAAGTAGCCATCACAACTGCAAGAAAAATGACAGGTTGGATAACAAGAACTTTTCACACTAGAGATGCTATACCGATGATGACACTTTTCAAAATGCTTGTGCTCTCTAGAGTGGAGTACTGCTGCACAATGACAGCCCCTTTCAAAGCTGGAGAAATTGCTGACCTGGAGAGCGTGCAGAGTTCCTTTACTGCTAGAATCCACTCAGTAAAACATCTAAACTATTGGGACCGACTAAAGAGCCTAAAACTGTACTTCCTTGAGCGCAGGCGGGAGAGGTACATAATAATTTACACGTGGAAAATATTAGAGGGGCTGGTCCCAAACCTGCACACAGAAATAACATCATATGAGACCAGAAGACATGGCAGGATGTGCAGAATACCCCCGTTGAAAAGCAGAGGTGCAACAGGTGCTCTGAGAGAGAACTCTATCAACGTCAGAGGTCAGAGACTGTTCAACACGCTTCCACTACACATAAGGGGCATAACTGGCCGACCCCTCACAGTGTTCAAGAGAGAACTGGATAAGCACCTCCAAAGGATACCTGATCAACCAGGCTGTGACTCATACGTCAGGCTGCGAGCAGCCGCGTCCAACAGCCTGGTTGATCAGTCCAGCAACCAGGAGGCCTGGTCGACGACCGGGTCGCGGGGACGATAAGCCCCGGAAGCACCTCAAGGTAACCTCAAGGCTATGTGCTACTAGCGTGGTCTTGTGCCTTTGGCTCCAGCGATTTGTCTCAGTTTCTGTGCTCTATGGCGTGGACTGTCTCTGCTGGTGGTGTGTGAGCCAGGAGTAATATTCTTCGGTACTTGGGCTGCATGCACCTAGGGCCACCTTCCCTAGGTGCCCTGTAAGTACTACCCTTGGGGCTTAGCGCCACCTTCCACAAGTCACCTCCACTGCATCTTTTACTGCTTGGTACTTGGCCGCCCTTGGAGTCAACTGGGGTCTTTGTTGCCTGTGTTTGCCTCTGGGTAGGGGGGGTAATTTTCATCACTGGTAGGGACGTGGGGTACTGCATAACTAGTGTTCACCTCTTACAGCAGCTGGCTCTATTCCACCTGGGTACGTTGTCCTCGTCCGGGGTTTTACTTTAGTTTTTGTTTTTCTGTCTGGTGAGGGGGGAGGTCTGCCTTGGTGGTTGCCCCTTCTGTGTTTGGGTATATATATCTATCATTATATCTATTATCAGTTTTTGTGTGGTTGGTAGTACCCCCTTGCTTGACCCCTGTGAGTGGACACATTCCAGGGGTTCAGCTATTAGCAGATTGTTTAGTAGTCTTGAGCACCGGTTCACAGTACCCTGCCTGGGCTTCCCTTAGCGTGTTAATAAGACTAAGGGCCCTGGGAAACCCCACGGGGGCTCCGTGGTCCGATGGATGTGACCCTTGAGTCCCCTCTCGCTTTGTGCGAGTCAGAAGGTTGCTCTGTCCCCTTGCTTCTGGGGACAATCACCGGTTGTGCCTCCGCCATACTTCCTGTTGGGTCAGTGGTTCTTTTGACTCGGAGTCATTCGACGTTTGTTGCCTGTACTTGCTCCAGTTCATCCAAGCTACTGATCATGATATGAGGGTGCAGGCAGCAGCTGCATTGCATGCTAGGTTCAGGCTTCTGCAATGCACTAGGTTAGTTGCTTGTCAGTCCCAGATACCCCGAGACTGCCCCGTTTTGGTTCTAGGGACCCGGACTTGGGGGTAGGAGTTGCTTTGGCTCTGGTTCCGTCCTCTACCCTTGTGAACAAATCTACAAGGGCCATGATGAGGATTCGAACCTGCGTCCGAGAGCATCTCAGATGCTGCCTTAATCGACTGAGTTACGACATGATCAAAAGGAGTTGAAACCAAAGTTCTGCTGAACTTACTGGATCCTGCAGCCTCTCCGAGGCACAAACCAGGGTTTTACACAACTCCCCCCCATGCACTCGAGCTATGTCAATAGGCCGTTCTCCGTCTTCGCCCTTACTTCATTACACACAGAAGTAAGGGTGAAGAGGGAGAACAGCTTATTGACATAGCTCGAGTGCATGGGAGAGTTGTGTAAAACCCTGGTTTGTGCCTCGGAGAGGCTGCAGGATCCAGTAAGTTCAGTAGAACTTCAGTTTCAACTCCTTTTGACCATGTCGTAGCTCAGTCGATTAAGGCAGTGTCTGGGATGCTCTCAGACGCAGGTTCGAATCCTCGTCACGGACCTTGTGGATTTGTTCACTCTCCCCTTGTCCTTCCCCTTCTGTTGTTCATCCGGTTCCTTTCCCCTTGCTTCCAAAACCCTCTGAAGCGTCTGAGGGTTTCGGAGTCAGGGCAGGGTTTAGTTAGTGTTGAGACTCGGGCAGTCTCAGGGGAGTCCCCTTCCGGGGTGGCAGTGGACGCATTCGTGCCTGGTCCTCCTGCCAGAGCTTCTGAGTCTAACCTGTGGGGCCCCCTTTCATTCCTGCTTTTTGGCTGCTTCTGCCTTTTCTTTAGGGGCAGTGGGTGTGGAGGACGGCTCAGCCCCGGATCCTTGGGGTAGGGGTTCCTGGGGCGGGGGAGGGGTTGACTAGGGGGCCTTGGGCCCCATTGGACCCCGCTTGGGTTTTTGTACACTCGGAGCGAAACTTGTTGTTACAGGGTGTGGGGTTCTCTTTTGCTCCCTCCGTGTACGAGTTGGATTTGGCGTCTACCCCTCCCCGGGTTTGGTTCCGTGGCTCCGACGGTTCTTTGGTTCCATCTTTCCGGAGGTTTTTGGCTTCTTGAGTCCAGTCACAATAGATGTGGGATGCCCTTGTGGCTTGCCTCCTGCGCGACCCGGACTTTTTTGTGATGGATCCACGTTCCTTCGTGTATGGATCTTCCTGGCCTTACTGGTTTCGTTATGAAGTTCTGGAGTCGTCCAGGTTAGCAGACTGCCCTTTCTTCTCTTTGGAAGCTTTGCCTTCTGCCGTATATGCGTCATCTGCGCTGTTGAAGCTGTTCACGCAGCTCCTGCGGGATGCGGTTCCGCCGTTTTTTGCTTCTCGGCTCGCGTGTCAGCAGTCGGTGCTCGCTTCTTCCTTGGAATTTGCTTGGGCCCAGACTTAGATTGTCTTCACCCTTTTGTCCATTGCTGTTTGCAGAGTCTGCGTTGATGCAGAATCTACAGGCGACTTCAGCTAGTTGTGATCCTATGTCGGACTTGTTGGTCCTCCGGGGGGCTCGGGGGGGGGGGGGGGGACTGTCCCTGCACGGTCATGCCAGGGTTTGGGGTTCTTTCTCTCGTGGTAGGCCAGTGGTGTCAGGGTCAGCACTGGCGAAGCCTTCGGTGCCGTCTGTTTCTGTTCGGTGCGGGAATCGCCCTTTGCACCGTTTCGATGCTCGTAAGGTTCGTTGGCCCTTTCGCAGTTCATCACATTGACGGGGCAGTGAGGAGGGGGGGAAAGGTTTGCTCTGTTTGTTTGCGCCTGGTTCCACGATTCGTGGGCTTTTCAGTTCATTTCGTGCAACCTGTGGTGGCGTTGGGTAGCTCCTCCTCCTTCAGGGGGTTTGGGGCTGGCAGGGCAGACTACTTCTCCTGTGCTTTGTCAAGTCATCTCAGAGTGGGTTCTCTTAGGCGTGGTTGAAACATTCTCATCCCTCAGGTAGATCTTCCGCCTGTTTCTGGTCCCAAAACTGGACTGTGCGGACCTCCGGTTCATTCTGGACTTGTCTCATCTGAACCCATGGGTTTATTGCCCCCTCCTTTCGGATGACTGTTCTAGGTCTGTCTTCTGTTGCAGCTGGGCACTTGGCTGGTATTCCTGGACCTCCAGGACATGTATTGGCATGTCCTGATTCATCCGCAGTTAAGGGACTGTCTCTGTTTTGTTGTGGGACGTCGAGGTTACCGCTTTCGTTGCCTTTCTATTTGTCTTGATTCTGGCACCTCGCATTTTCACTCGCCTTACTCAGGTCATGGTGGCTCGCCTGCATCTGTTAAGTGTTTGGGTTCTGGCCTACCTTGATGACTGACATCATCCCCTCATCAGATTTTGGTCCTGGCTCCCAGTAGAGAGTACAAATGCTTTACTTATGCAATTACTGAGGGCCCAACAGAAAAGTGCATTTCATTACATTTAATGCATGATTTTATCTTAGGTTTAGAACATTCATAATACCTCATTGCTATTCTTTCAGATTAAGCCAGTGTTAAGAACAGCGGTAGTAAGTTCCTGTAATACAGGCAATGAGGCTCGACTTCTGCAAGACGTCCTTGATGAAGGTTTTCGTGTTTTACAGCAGAGACTAGATGACACAAACTTTCAGCGCTTCTTACTGAAAATTTGGAATGTTCTAATAGTGATTTTCTGTGACATTGTTGAAAGTAATTCTACTGTAAGTATTTTATTTATCATGGCAAATATTATTCATTTATAATAATTTACCTTAACATGGTTTATGCAAACAATTGTTGGAATGACATAAATTTACAAAATTTACTTTTTAATTTGTTGCACATTGATGTATTTTACTTACATATTTAATATTACCATTAAACATAATATCTTAAACCACATGATAATCTCAATGTGCAACTCAAAATGCTGCACATAATTAGTGGCTTTTCTGGGAGTGCCCTTCTGTAGCCTCCTTCCTTTCCTCCTGCTAAAGTACTGGGAACAGGGACAAAAATATGGAAGCTTGGGGATCAGAGATTAACTAAGTACTGAGAAACCTCCCACCAGAAAGCAAAAGTACATCAAAATTAGCAGCTGCTTAAAAGTTCGCAACCATTGTTAAATGTTGGCCCAGACCACTCGGGGTTCTTTCCAGCCAGCTACCTCATTCACTTGCCTGATGATACGAGGACAACACCTCTCTGCTGGGCCTCATTACTTTGAATTCCTCAGTAACTTTTATCTGAAGCAGTATCTGCTTCTGATGCATTGCCAAAAGTTTTTACTCAGCTTCTTTGTGATTAAGTGACAGAATTTTATGCTCCACATCATGCAGATATCATGCAAATATTCCTGTTTTCCAAGCTTCTGTTCTCTTCTCAGATGGTGGATTGAGCTCTGGCTCCAGCAGGAATTTTCTCAAAACAATTTTCATAATCATTTCACCTGCAATCTACTTCTGTGGGGCCTGTGATAGGCCATTCAAGGTAGTGCTTTTCTGTGACTTCTGGCCAGTTCATAGTTTCTTGTGCACCCTTGGTTCTAGCATTGGCTCTTCTTTTTTGAAGTTGATAACTTTCTTTCGTATATCCTGTTTGGAGAAGGCTGGAGGCATTTCATTGTGCTTGGGCCCAGGATGCCTCATATCTCGGGACCTTGGCAGGTTTCTTTAATCCTTTTCAGTTGCCTGTGTATTCCCTGGACAGTAATTTTGGAATTGTTGGACAAGAGGGTTATTATGGTAACTCTGCCTCTCATGTGGGGTCCCAGTTGTTTTTGGTTCTAAAGAACAACTCTTCAATTTCTCTGTTTTCATTGACCTCATCTTTCTCATTACACACATTCTTTGTCCAACATTCTAGATGAATAGTGTATCTCGAGTTCAATAGGAGGTGCCAAATTAATCTTGGCTCATCTCCAATGATCTGAGGAATGCTGACTGGTGCATTCCAGTTCACCTTCAGGTCCAGGATTGGCAAGGGATCAAAATGCATAATTTCTGCTACCACATTTTGGGTCTTCTGTTTTACTTATATTTGGTGTCAGAATCTTTGCTACACTTACTTGGGAGTTGCTTTGCCTTCTCCAGCTTCTCAGTACTCACCTAGTTCTACTCACCTAGTTGTGCTTACAGGGGTTGCACTTTGGCTCTTTGGTCCCGCCTCTCAACTGTCAATCAACCTGGTGTACAGATTCTGGAGCCTATGGGCTATAGACTCTATCAATCAGTGTCCAATTTTGGCATACCTCAATGACTGGATGGCTTGGGCTTCCTTTTGTAAGGGTTGTCTCCTGATCAGGAATCTGGTCCTTACCCATTTAGCACGATTTAGGTTCCTCATTAACTCCTGAGCTGGTCCTGTGATTATAGCTTGCAACACGCCCAGGTGCAAGAAATAAAAACACAAAAAGCCCAGCATTGAATGTAATGAAACGCCATTTTCTGGGTGAGCCCTGGAGGCTCCCTGAAGCTTATTGGGCTAATGTATGTTATATTAGACCGGGACATTAGCTAAGGAGTTTAGACCTACCAGGGACCAGCGCCAGAACCTGGCCCCTTCAGAGAGGTTCCAGGGAGCAATGGCCCTGGAAAACCCCCTTGTGGTTGGGGTTTTCCTTATCTGCCATCGACCGGGGTTAGGCACCCAGAAAGGTAGGCATAACAAAACAAACCCCACATGGTAAAAACTAAAACAAAAAACCGAACAGAGAGGTAGAAACTCCCTACAATCCCAAGGAAACAAGCAAACATCACACTTTACTGCCGCGCCGATCGTCCGCACAGCCCTCCCCGCCCCGAGAGAGAGGGGGAAGCCCCGGACCTACCGTGCTGGCTGCCTAGCACCAGTTCGGAAGCTAAGTTTTAACCAACCTCGAAAAAACCGCCGACCAGTGAGAGGGAGGGTTGCCAGGGAGCCTCCGGGGCTCGCCCAGAAAATGGCGTTTCATTACATTCAACGCCGGACTGTCTGTGGGTTTCGGGGTCGGGGCAGGGTTTAGTTGGGGCCGAGACTCGGGCGGTTTTCGGGGACTGACCTGTTCGGGTTGGGGGACGGAGGTTTTTCGAGCCGGTTCCTCCTGCCAAGGCTTCTGAGTCTTACCAGCAGCCCTTTCTTGCTGCCTTTCCCATGAACTCTTGCTTTTCTTTAAGGGCGGAGGGCTTGGAGGACGGCTCTGCCCCGGGGCCTCTGTTGTTGGTTCCTTGGGTTATAGGGGATGCCTGCTAGCAGTTCTGGGGCGGTTTGCCCCAGCCTGGGTTTTCTGCTTTTGGGCGGCGTTTTTCGCCCATCCAGTCTGCTTGCTTCCCACTTTTGCTGGTGTATTTTTGTATCTCTAGCGTCAGTCACAGCCCCTACTAGCGGCCATTTTCGTCTGCCGGTTTCCCGGCGTGGCCACCAGGGCGGCGTTGCGGTTTGTTTACATGCGACTGGGTGTGTGAGAAAGCCTCTTGGATGAGTTTTCAGCTTTTTTCAGGTGTTTTTATTCTCCTGTTGTCGTTGCTTTGCTTTTCTGGTGTTTTCTCCCTGTTGCCTGTCCCTCTGGGGACATTTGGGTGTTGAATTTATACTCCCACACCTTGTCCCTCGGTTTTCGGTCTGCTATGACCGTTTTCCCAGGGGGTTCTGTCTGGGGGCTGTGCCTTGCCTTTCTGTGGTGTTCTCCGCCGGCAAATGTGGTGGTTTGGGCTCCCCCTGGTTCGATTCTGGGTTCCTTTGGGTTCTTTGGTTTCGTTCCGGAGGTTTCTTCCTCTTGGGCCCCCTTTTGTGAGTTCAGGGGGCTTTGTTTCCTCGTGTGACCGGGTTCTGCCTTCTGGGATTCCGGGGTCTTCCTGGCTTGCAGACTGATCTTTTTGGGTCTTGGCACATGTTGTGGTTGTGCTGGGACTTTGAGGTTTTGCTGTCGAGGTGGGCCTTTTGATGCAGTTTTGTGCCTTCTTTGCCTGGCCAGCGTGGTGCTTTCTACCCACTGGTCGGTGACTTGTACTTTTCTTTTAAAATGTATGTGTGTGTGTGTACGCATGTACATGTGTACGTTGTGTGTTTGTGTGCACGTGTATACACACATGTGTGTAACATACCTTGTGTGTATGTGTGTATATATATATATACAGTATATGTATGTGTATATACATAATGTGTATATGTGTGTACTTTTTCTTTCGGAAGGGGTTCTGTTCCCTTCTCTGTTGACGGGGCGCTGGGGGAGCTGCTTGGTCTGTTGACTCTCGCATGGTCCCGCTGTTGGTGGGCGCTTTTGGTTGTCTTCCGGCCTCTGGTGGCGTCGGTGGACGGCTTCTCCCCCTTTGGGAGGTTCAGAGCTGGCGGGGTGGGCTTCTTCCCCTGTGCTTTGTCATGTCATCTTAGTGGGTGCTTTGGACGTGGTCTATCCGCCCCCATCCTTCTGGGGTTCCCGTCTCCTCTTTGTAGTCATGGGCCTTTCACATCTGCAGTTCTTCTGGACTTCTTCAGTCTGCGCCCTGGATTCTATGCCCTCGGAGGAGGACCGTTGTCTTCTGTCTGGCTTCTGTTGGGGCCAGGTGCTTGGATGGTGGCCCTGGACCTCCAGGTCACTTCTTGGCACGTTCCTCTCCAGTTTTCTGGGACTGGCACAGTTGGTGGTGGGGCTTCAGGCTTGCCGCTTTTGTTGCCTTCCCTATTTTGTAATTGGCACTTGGTGTATTTACGCATCTTTACCAGATCTTGGTGCCCTGTCTGAGTCTGCTTGGGATTCAGTGTCTGGCCTACCTCGACGACTGGGTGGTGTGGGCTCCCAGTTGGTCCTCTTGTCTGCTCGCCAGGGGTGTGGTTCTTTCCAGATCGCCGGGTCAGTTTCCTAGTGATCTGGAGGCCACTCCATCTATTTCCGTCCCGCATTCGAACCTGGCTGGATCTTGTTTAGGGCTCTTGGGCTGCACCTTGTCTTTCCCTCCAGAAGTATTGCTGCAGCTGTGGTCCTGCATTTGGCTGTTTATGAGGGGGTCCCGGGTTGCTCGGCGGTTGCTCGAGCGGTTGTGTGGGAGTCTAAACTTCAATGTGCTGGTCTGCCTGCAGGGTCGGGTTTGGCTTCAGCGTCTGTTTGGTTCCTTCGGAGACTCTCCTTCCGCGTCTCTTGCAATCGTTAGGTTCGTCCTCCGGGGATCTTGTGTTGGTGCTGCGTCATCAGCTTCCTCTTTGGGGTTTTCGGGGTTCCGTGCCTTGGCACCTCCCCAAGCCTTTGCTCGATGTTTTCACGAATAGGTCACCAGGTCAGCTGGGGATGGTGGGGTCTGTCGGTCCATCAGGCTCACAGCACTGTTCGAGAGTTCGTGGCTGTCTGGTTTGCACATCGGAGGGTTCAGGTCCCTTGGTGCTCTACCATCCAGCTCCATTCGAACTGTTCTTTGGCGGTTCTTCGCCGGACCCACAGAGTTTCTCTTAGATGTTTGACCTTTCGGGTTAATTCCTTTGAGTGGCTCGTTTGCTGGATTCTCGGGGTTTGGCTAACTGTGAGGTTCATGTCCGGGGTGTGTCCTACATCCTGGCAGACAGCCTGTCTCGGTTCATTCCTCTGTTCGCGGATTGGCCAGTCATCGCCGACTCGTTTCGTTGGCTCTGCCGGACGTATGGACTCCTGGCCATGGACATCTTCACATCGGAGTGGTGTGGGCATCGCCCATTCTATGGCGCCCTTACCCGCCTGCGAGGTGTTCACGGTGTATGCCTTTTGGCATGACTGGTCGAGGTGGGGGTACCTGTTCCTCTTCTCCTGGTCCAGCTGTTGCTTCGGGTTCTGACTCGGTTGGAGTCCATTCCCAAGGGGAGTAGTCCTCATGGTCTCTTGGTGGCCGGCCCAGTTTTATTTTCAGACGCTGCTTGATGGGTGTCCGAACCAGGGGCGTTTTCCTGCGGGTCCGCCTCTTTCGGCAGCTTGGACCGGTCCTGTACGTGACTGGTTCGGCCTTCTCCTCGGCTCTTCACATCTGGTATTTTGACACCACCTGATCACCATCTCTATAGTGATCAGGTGGCTTCATTGATGGTGTCCCACCTTTGAGCTTCGTCTCAGCGACAGTATGATGTTCCTGGTGTTTCTATGCACCTTTTTCTTGCTCTTCGTAGGTTGTCTTCTCTTATGCATCGGGTTGTCTTGTCCTTTCTTGGGTTTTCAGGACTACAGCTATTTGATGTTTCTTACTGTTGCCTCGTTTTGTGCGGCGCTGGCGGAGCCGCTCGGGCTTGCGTTCGGGGTGGACATCACATCTGCTCCGTTCCCTACGCTTTCTCATATTTTGTTTCACCTCCGGCCTGCTCAAGCGTCGCCTGAGCCTTCCTGGTCCTTGATCAGGGTGCCCTCTTATCTTCTTCTCCTCAGTTTGTGGTAGCCCCTTCGGTTCAAGTTTGGTTTGCATAGGTAATATTTTGTTGGCATGGGCCTCTGCAGGTCGGGTCGGGGAGCTTCTGGCTCTTCCGGTGCACAGGTTTCTGCTCTTTGGTACTGGTGGTAGGTTTGTACGTTTTCAGCCTTTCTCCGTCCTTCTGGCGACGGTCGAGACAGCCGCTTTTCGGAGGGGTCCTTGGGTTATTGATGCTTGATTGGTTCGGCCGGAGTGCGTCCTGTGTTGTCCGGTTGCGCCTCTTTGACGTTACCTGCATACCGTGTCTGGGGATGAGCTTTGGGTAGATCCGGTTCCCCTCGTTCCCTGTTTCAGGGCTCGGGTCTCCCAGGTCGTCCGCAGAGTTTTTAAGTTTTCCAGCCTGTGGTCTATTCTTGCGCCCGTGCTGTTCGGACGTTTGCAGCTTTCACTGCTGTGTTGGTGACATCTAGGGCTCATTTCGGGTGTGAGGATTTGAGGGTCGCACAGATTCCAGGCCACTTGTTTTTTATGCGTGTGTCTGCTCCTGTGCATTCTTGTTGCCTTGGGTTGCAGGATGCAGCCTGTTGTTTTGGCTTTGTGTTGCAGAGTTTGTGGCGGCCGCCTCCCGGGTCAGCCCTTTCTTTTCCTTCTCTTTGGGTGCGAAGCTCCAGGGAGCCGTAGGGGCTCCCCACAGAAAACCAGTGGTGAATGTAATGAAACATCATTTTCTGGGTGAGCCCCGGAGGCTCCCTGGCAACCCTCCCTCTCACTGGTCGGCGGTTTTTTCGAGGTTGGTTAAAACTTAGCTTCCGAACTGGTGCTAGACAGCCAGCACGGTGAGGTCCGGGGCTCCCCTCTCCCCCTCTCTGGGCGGGGAGGGCTGCGCGGATGATCGGCGTGGCAGTAAAGTGTGATGTTTGCTTGTTTGCTTGTTTCCCTGGGATTATAGGGAGTTTCTACCTCTCTGTTTGGTTTTATGTTTTAGTTTTTTACCATGTGGGGTTTGTTTTGTTATGCCTACCTTCCTGGGTGCCTAACCCCGATTGATGGCAGATAAGGAAACCTCTCTGAAGGAGCCAGGTTCTGGCGCTGGTCCCTGGTAGGTCTTAACTCCTTAGCTAATGTCCCAGTCTAATATGACATACATTAGCCCGATAAGTTCCAGGGAGCCTCCGGGGCTCACCCAGAAAATAGCGTTTAATTACATTCAACGCTGTTTTTTTTTTTTTTTTGCTACAATGTAATTGATGTGTGTATCTACTTTATTAACATTCATATTTAATTACCAAAGTTTACACTGTATTTCAAAATTCAACAGAAACAAAATGCTGAGTACTTCAAGAAGGTCTACAATGTTTTGGACCGCACATGGTATTTCTTTACTCCCACTGATCGTAGAGGACTTGAACCGCAGCAAGCTCACACTGATGGTTAGTAACACAAAAAAGGAATTCTTAGAATTCACAAATTTCTTTTAAAATTCAAAATTTGTTAGTACCGAAATTTTTTGTGGCATTTATCCTTACAAATTAAACTTTTCTGGGGGGGAGCCCCTATGGCTCCCTGGAGCTTACTAGGCTGATATGCTAATGTCAGACTTTGGCATCAGTCATGTGTATGGAGTTCTTATGGGCCTACCGGGGACCACGAGCCAGAACCTGGCCCCCTCTAGAGAGGCAAGGGGAGCAATGGCCTATAGAAACTCCCATGTAATTGGAAGCATTCTATATCTGCCATCGACCGAGTTAGACACCCAGAAAGGTAGGCGTCCCAAAACAAACCCCTATTCTGGTGAAAATTGCAACCAAAAGTCGAACGAGTGGATAGAACTCCCCAAACAAAACGAGCAAACTAGTATGACGTCACCCATCGTCACGCCGCTGTCTGCTCAGCCCCCCCCCCCCCCGCCTTCCCAGGAAGGGAAAGGAGTAGCCCCAGACCTACCGCACCACCGATCCACACCCCAGCTCTTGTAGCTGATGCTATCAGTTCAGTTGTGTGCTCTGGCTTGCAGCACTGTGCCTTGTGTGTGGCTGCGGTACTCCAGGGTTGCGAGAGCCAGGAGTTATTCCTCAGTACTCGGGCTGCATGCGCCTAGGGTTCCCTTCCCTAGGTAATTACCTAAGTGTAATTACCTAAGTGTAGTTACAGGATGAGAGCTACGATTGTGGTGTCCCGTCTCCCCATCACTCTTTGTCATATAATGCTTTGAAATTACTGACGGTTTTGGCCTCCACCATCTTCTTACCTAACTTGTTACAACCATCTACCACTCTGTTTACAAAAATGAATTTTCTTATATTTCTCCGGAAGCTTTATTTCGTTAGTTTGACCTCTTGACTATGACCTCTTGTTCTCGATTCCTGTTACTAGTTTGAACGTAGTGATCATATCACCTCTTTTTCTTCTCTCTTCTAGTTTTTGCATATTTAAGGCCTTTAACCTCTCCTCATAGCTCTTGTCCTTCAGTCCTGGGAGCCACTTAGTGGCATGGCGTTGCACCTTTTCCAGTTTGTTGATGTGCTTCTTAAGATATGGGCACCATACAACCGCTACATATTCCAGCTTTGGTCTAACATAAGTCGTGAACAATTTCTTTAGTATTTCATCCATGTATTTAATAGCAATTCTGAAGTTAGAAAGTGTAGCATAGGCTCCTCGCACAATGTTCTTTATGTGGTCCTCATGTGACATTTTTCTATCTAGAACCACCACTAGATCCCTTTCTTTGTCAGAATTCTTTAAAGATTTCTCACATTAATCTCACATTCTCTTTAAAGATTTTCTCACACAATACAGGAAGAGGCCAAACCCCCAAACATACCAGTGATACAAAGATGCGACAAACAACTACACGTTAGTGAGGGGAGAGGCAGAAAGAAATTTTGAAAAAGGGATTGCAGACAAATGTAAAACAGAACCAGGTCTATTCTATAAATTCATAAACAACAAATTGCAGGTAAAGGTTAATATTCAGAGGATGAAAATGGGAAATAGAGTCTTGGAAAATGAAAAGGAAATGTGTGAAACATTAAACGAAAAGTTCCAAAGTGTGTTTGTGCAAAATGAAATCTTTAGGGAACCAGACACAATAAGAATTCCAGGGAACAACATAGAGGTGTCTAGAGATGAAATGGAAAAAATGCTCAAGGAGGTAAGTAAGAACAAAGCAGTTGGTCCAGATGGAGTTTCACCATGGGTTCTGAGAGAATGTGCACCTGAGCTCATCATTCCACTTCAACTGATTTTTCAGGCATCCCTGTGTACAGGAGTTGTAGCTGATGTGTGGAAAAAAGGCTAACATAGTTCCAATCTACAAAAGCGGAAACAGGTAAGACCCCCTTAATTATAGACCTGTATCACTGACAAGTGTAATAGTCAAAATACTGGAAAAAATAATTAAAACTAAATGGGTAGAACACCTGGAGCAAAACGATATAATATCAGACAGACAGTATGGTTTTCGATCTGGAAGATCCTGTGTAATGAACTTGCTCAGTTTTTATGATCGAGCCACAGAGATTTTACAGGAAAGAGATAGTTGGGTTGACTGCATCTATCTGGACCTAAAAAAGGCTTTCGACAGAGTTCCCCATAAGAGGTTGTTCTGGAAACTGGAACATATTGGAGGGATGACAGGTAAGTTACTAACATGGATGAAAAATTTCCTAACTGACAGAAAAATGAGGGCCGTAATCAGAGGCAAGGTATCGGATTGGAGGAATATTACGAGTGGAGTACCACAGGGTTCAGTTCTTGCACCGGTAATGTTCATTGTCTACATAAACGATCTTCCAGTGGGAATACAGAATTACATGAACATGTTTGCTGATGATGCTAAGATAATAGGGGAGATAAGAAACCTAGATGATTGTCATGCGCTTCAAGAAGACCTGGACAAAATAGGTATATGGAGCAACACTTGGCAAATGGAATTTTATGTGAATAAATACCATGTTATGGAATGTGGAATTGGAGAACATAGACCCCACACAACCTATAAATTATGTGAAAAATCTTTAAAGAATTCTGACAAAGAAAGGGATCTAGGGGTGGTTCTAGATAGAAAAACTGTCATCTGAGGACCACATTAAGAACTTTGTGCGAGGAGCCTATGCTACACTTTCTAACCTCAGAATTGCTTTTAAATTCATGGATGGAGAAATACTAAAGAAATTGTTCACGACTTTTATTAGACCAAAGCTGGAATATGCAGCGGTTGTATGGTGCCCATATCTTGAGAAGCACATCAACAAACTGGAAAAGGTGCAACGACATGCCACTAAGTGGCTCCCAGAACTGAAGGACAAGAGCTACGAGGAAAGGTTAGAGGCATTAAATATGCAAATACTAGAAGATAGAAGAAAAAGAGGCGATATGATCACTACGTTCAAAATAGTAACAGGAATCGATAAAATTGATAGGGAAGAATTCCTGAGATCCGGAACTTCAAGAACAAGGCGTCATAGATTTAAACTAACGAAATAAAGCTGCCGAAGAAATATAAGAAAATTCACTTCTGTAAATAGAGTGGTAGACGGTTGGAACAAGTTAAGTGAGAAGGTGGTGGAGGCCAAAACCGTCAGTAATTTCAAAGCATTATATGACAAAGAGTGATGGGGAGACGGGACACCACGAGCATAGCTCTCATCCTGTAACTACACTTAGGTAATTACATAATTTATAAGTTGTGTGGGGTCTATGTTCTCCAATTCCACGTTCCATAACATGGCATTTTTGTGGGGAGCCCCTACGGCTCCCTGGAGCTTATCGGGCTAATGTATGTTATATTAGACCGGGACATTAGCTAAGGAGTTCAGACCTACGCGTCACGCTGGCTTGTGGTGGTGGGTGGGAGATGGTCCAGTTTGCCCACTGTGACTTCACAGATTCACGGCCTATTATTCCTATTATTTTGAATTGCCATAAGGCTGGAATGTTCATTCTGTGCTTTTGTTTTACATATCTGCACAATCAAGAAACATCTGTGCACCATGTTGGCTCCAAATGCACGCAGGCAGGCTAGCTTGCAGGCAGGGAGTGAGTGGTAGTCACGCGGTTGAACTGCGTGACCTTGAGAGATGGGATGTAGGGGGCGGGTGGTTTGTTGGTGGTGGGGGTGAGACCGGCTCATTCCCGAAGATAAGCCTAACACACACTACCCGTTAGCATGATGGCAGGGAGGGAGGCAGGCTGGCTGGAAAGGAAGCAGGCTGGCAGGCTGGGAAGGAGGCAGGCAGGCAGGCTGGGAAGGAGGCAGGCAGGCAGGCTGGGAAGGAGGCAGGCTGGGAAGGAGGCAGACTGGCAGGCAGGGAAGGAGGCAGGCTGGGAAGGAGGCAGGCTGGGAAGGAAGCAGGCTGGCAGGCTGGGAAGGAGGCAGGCTGGCAGGCTGGGAAGGAGGCAGGCTGGCAGGCTGGGAAGGAGGCAGGCTGGCAGGCAGGGAAGGAGGCAGGCTGGCAGGCTGGGAAGGAGGCAGGCTGGGAAGGAAGCAGGCTGGCAGGCTGGGAAGGAGGCAGGCAGGCAGGCTGGGAAGGAAGCAGGCTGGCAGGCTGGGAAGGAGGCAGGCTGGGAAGGAAGCAGGCTGGCAGGCTGGGAAGGAGGCAGGCTGGGAAGGAAGCAGGCTGGCAGGCTGGGAAGGAGGCAGGCTGGGAAGGAAGCAGGCTGGCAGGCTGGGAAGGAGGCAGGCAGGCAGGCTGGGAAGGAGGCAGGCAGGCTGGGAAGGAGGCAGGCTGGGAAGGAGGCAGGCTGGCAGGCTGGGAAGGAGGCAGGCTGGCAGGCAGGGAAGGAGGCAGGCTGGCAGGCTGGGAAGGAAGCAGGCTGGCAGGCTGGGAAGGAGGCAGGCTGGGAAGGAGGCAGGCTGGGAAGGAGGCAGGCTGGGAAGGAGGCAGGCAGGCAGGCAGGCAGGAAGCGATATATGGGTGTTGAAGTGAACCGTGAACCACGTGACCTTTGAGAGTGTGTGTGTGTGTGTGTGTGTGTGTATGGGTTTGGGGTGGGGGGTGGGGGTGGTGTGTCGGTGGTGGGGGGAGAGGGGGAGGTGTGTCGGTGGTGGGGGGAGAGGGGGAGGTGTGTCGGTGGTGGGGGGAGAGGGGGAGGTGTGTCGGTGGTGGGGGAGGGACCGGCTGACTCCGTAAGCCTAACCACACTCCACAGACCTGTGACCCAGATTTGTTTCTTAAATGTACAGTACATCATCGTATATTTTAGGCAGGATGTTCCTGCAGGCTGGCAGGAAACATCCAGAGGATGTTTGCCAGACGTCTTAATAATCAGTTAGGAACAATTAAGGACTTTTATAAAGCGGATCAGGACTTCACTTATTGATGAGTACAAACAAAACACGGTCGCATTTACGCCATGAACCTGACGATTTTTTTCCCTAGAGTTTTTTTCATAAATTGTTCGGAAAAATTTCTTTTTACATTTCTAG